TGGTAGATATAGCATCCTCTGTGGAGTGGTTGGGATGGTAAGCGAACTGAAGAGGGTCAAGCGATGCAGGAAGGCTGGCTGTGATGTGTGATTTGACGAGTCGTTCAAAACACTTCATCACAATTGGTGTCAGCGCGATGGGGCAATAGTCATTCAGACAGGCTACAACTGACTTCTTTGCCACTGGAACTATGGTGGATGCTTTAAAGCCTCTGGGGACAATGGCCTGACTCAGTCAGCACATCTGCCAGCTCGTCAGCGCAGACTCTGAGCACATGTACCGGGATGTTGTCCGCTCCTGCTGCTTTTCATGGGTTGACCCTGGCTAGGGTCCTCCATGTGTCTGCTGCGTTGATGGTGAAAGCTGGCCTGACAGAAGAAGGAGAAGGACCAGCCCTCTCTCTCATTGTCGGGTTTGATGCTTCAAAGCGTGCAAAGAAGTTGTTGAGCCTGTCTGGCAGAGAAGCGTCATCGTCGTCAACTCCCTGCCTGGTCTTGTAATCCGTCAGTGCCTGGACTCCCTGCCACATCCGTCTAGTGTTTCCTGTGTCACAGAGGTGTTCCTGGATCTTCTCTGCATAGGTGCATTTCGCAGCCTTGATCCATTTTGAGAGCTCAGATCTGGCTGAGTGAAGAGCAGTCCTGTGTCCAACTCTGAAGGCTGCATCACGGGCCGTCAGCAGCCAGCGCACCTCTGCAGTCATCCAGGGTTTTTTGGTTTCCACGTGCTGTGAAGGTTTTAATGATAGTGACATCCTCTGTACACTTTGCGATGTAGCTGGTTACCGCCTCAGCATACTCCTCAATGTCAATCTGATCACCTTGGGAGGCTGCTGTTTTGAAAACCTCCCAGTCAGTGTCCATAAAACAACCTTAAAGTGCTGAGGATGCACCTTCTGGCCAGATCCTGGCTTGTTTTTTAACTGGCCTACTGTACTTCAGGAGGGGTTTGCAAGCCGGCACCAGCATAACAGAAAGATTATCAGAGCGGCTGAGGTGGGGGCGGGGGGTTGCTTTGTATGCATCAGGGAATTTTGAAAACACCAAGTCAAGCATGTTCTCTCCTCTGGTTTTAAAGTCCTCAAATTGCTTGAACTTGGGGAGCACAGACTTTAAACTGCTGTGGTTAAAATCCCCAACCACTATAAAGCTGTCTGGGTGTTTAGTTAAAAGTTTACCTATGGCTTTTCAAGCAATTCAGCTACTCATCTAAGTGATACATCTGGAACAGCAGGAGAAAGGATGTCAAGATTTTTCTCTAACTGTTGCATTGTTGTTGTACAGAAGCTCATAAAAATATTACCAGTGAGAGCTCAAGGAATATTAGGCTCAAAAGGGCTCAGTATCCTGATTTCAGTATTTCCTTAATTCAGTGTAATATTATCTCTAATTTTATTTCCAAGACAGTTGTGGAAATTAAAAATAAGCTTGAGTTGATTAGATTTAGATTAGGTGAGTTCACACAATTGATTGGCAATTATTCCTGTTTAAGGCAGTATGCTACAGAGGTGCCTGCATATTGACCACTGGTGCTGTTATATTGCCATGTTAGTGTAAAGAATTTCTGTCTTTCCCACTGAATACTAGTAGCTTGTTAGTGGTCTAAATGCTGTGGACATTTACAAGTTAAATTGTCACTTCAGGCCTTGGTCACAACCAGCCGCACGGGGTCCTACGGCCTGTCTGCGTCCAAAATACACACAAAATGGCATGTGCCATGCAAGTCCGTCTTGTAAAATTTCGAGGTCGCAGATAGCCTGTAAGCACAAAGGGAGAATCTTTGACATGTCAAAAAGATTCTACAAATTCTCTGTGAACAGCGACGCAGCAAGTGTAACTTGCTCCCCCTGCAAGGAGCTTGTCAGTGAGATGTGCAAATTTTACGTGTTAAGAAAATCTGTGGTCTAAGACGTTCATTGCACGCAATGAGGGAGCAAGTGCCCCTTGTGTGTAAAGCATGGCGCAAACAATCACAACTCATAAACAAAATCGAATGCTTGGCGTGCGCGTATCACCCCACGCCAGGAGTATAAAAGGCGCCCTCATGGCACACGCTCATGTTTTGCCAGTGATCATCGATTGCATGATTGCTTTAAACAAATAATAGATATACCATATTATAATCAGTTTTGTATTGCTTTAAGTAAATCTACCTTTGTAAAAGAGTTCATTTTAATGTCTGAAGCAGCGGCAGGATTTTCTACAAATCCATGTGAAAAGATTAGAGACAAGAGCACTAGCGTAACAAAGTCAGATTATTAAACTGAATAATCTAATAAAATAAAACAAACATTAAAAAATAAATCATTTTGTCTTTGACTGTTATTTCGAAAGCATTTATACAGATGTACAGGTCAGGACTCTAGACAGCACAGCGCGACCTGGCGCGACTGCATGTCTCAGTGCAAGGGCCGTTTCTTCTGTCACCGCCTCAGTATGAATGGATGAAAACACCACATCTGATCACACTCATTATTCATCATCAGTGGCACAGCGGCCAAATGATTTCACACACAGAGAATACAAGCAGCGTTTTCGTACATTTCAGACACACACACACATCGTTGGCTTTATCGCTGAAGCGCAGATCTCATATTGGGATATAACATTAATGTTTTTAAGAGGTAATTTTTAGTGAATATATGCATACATATATATATATATATATATACATATCAGTGTTACAGCTAGTCCGTGTCTCCGCTGGAGGAGCGGGTTGGCTCACTGGAGATGCTGATGGCCGGTATCAGCTGGAAGTCAGTACCGGGAGCTGTCACTGCCAACTTGTCAGGATCTGTGTGTGTGCTACAAAAAACATGAAATCATACTTATTTTCATCACCATTTGTTCTGAAGTTTTAACTTTTGTCCTGATATCAGTTTGTATGCTCTCGGATCTATTTTTTTTGGTTATCGCCCCGGGATGACTGTGTGTCCTGAAGCTCAAACCCTGTCAGTATGTTAACAGAATTTACAAGACAGCATATCACATGATTGCTGAAGTGTCTCTGTTTTGTTTTTTGTTTTTGTTTTGTTTTTTGACAATCACGCCAAATTGACGTATGCCATCAGGATATCATCACGAGCGTGTGAGGCAAGTGCACTGTTACTGGATGCCAGTGGAGCTGTTGGAGGACAGGAGTGATGCAGGCAGCTGAATTGTGGACCAGTTCAAGTTTGTGGAGGGATTTGTGAGGGAGACCAAAGAGGAGAGAAATACAATAATCCAGATGGGAAGTGATGAGACTGTGGATGAGGATGGCAGCAGTGTGGGGGGAGAGGGAGGGGCGGAGGCGATTGATGTTACGTAGGTGGAAGTAGGCAGATCTGGTAATGTTACTGATGTGGGATTGGAAGGATAATGTACTTTCAATCATAATAACAATAACAATAATAATAACAATAATGAAAGATGATAGGAATAATGACTGGAAGAACAAAAACCACAGGCCCTACAACATCAAATCAGCGCGAGAACAAACAAACCGAGCCAAAGTATCCCATGCCCAGATGCCAGTCGGCGCATCATTGTTGTCCATTACATCCTAATGAAAAAAAAAAAAGTTCCACCAAGAACTGCAAAAGGAGAGGCAGATATTGGCTATCACAGTGGTTTAGTCACTATGTCCAACCTGTATAGTATTAAATTTAACAGGTTTTCATGTTTTCCCATTTGGGTGTGAGAGGTTGAGAGTAGGGCACTTGAATGAGTTATAGTGAAGTTTAGGTCTCGGGAAGATTGTTGCCACTCCTCCTCAGCCTGTATTTTGTGGAATGTACCAATTAATTTGACTTGTAGTCGGGCAGCATAAGCAATCTTTTGTGAGTGTGTGATAAAACTGCCAAATTTGGTACATCTATAACTTTAAAAATATAGAAAATGCCAAATATATTGGTCTGGTCGTTAGGTCATTACATATAGGCATTCTAATGACAATGACAACCATTTTCTAAAATGGCTACTTCTTCAAACATGTTTTGTTATTATGCAAGAAAATAATACATTTCCAAAAACAAACCAAAAAAAAAGGCTGCAAAAAAATTGTGGAATGTCTACATAACACAGTGAGCAGAGTTACGTATTAACATAGGTCATGTAGCAATTTTCAGTGAATAACTGAAGCCATTACCTATGCAGCTTGTTTGAAAAGACCAGTAAAATTGCTGTCTACAATTTGAACCATTCTAAGAACACTTGCCTTCCACGTGCCTACAGGGGAATTCTGTCAAGATTTAATACAAGCTTTTTTAAACATTGACTTTTGCCAATTTCCTATAAAGCTTTGACTGGTGAAGAACTTGGGCAACAGTTTTTGTATGTACAGTCGATCATATCTCAGATGCGGACACTTGTAACTCCTTCAGAGAAGTTCAGACAAATTAATACTACAGGAACTATTTTTACTCACTCACTGCAGTATATAGTATTGATATTGAAGTATGTTCTTTGTTAAAGGTCATAGTTCATAGAATTTTCACAAAGTATTTTATCTAGTTCTCAGGGTCAATAGGATTTAGATTGTTTATGTTATTGCATATGAGTCCAATGAGGTAGGAAAGTTTGACAATCCATCAAATTTGTGATGGTCTACTATTCGCTTTCATTCTCAATATATCAGTGATCACCTGCACATTTGGTGCCTTAGTCACAAAATGAACAATTATTTTATGTTAAGCTACGCCAATTTGATGATCAGTTATCAAATCATGTACTCACAGAGATTTAGTCACAAAGATATAGTATGTAGTAACTCACATTTAATACGGGTTTTTTTTCTGTTAATGGAGTAGTATTTATTTTTATTAGGTTTTTAGGAACAGCACCGTATGTGTTGATTTTTTTATGTATTTAATTTAAGTAGTCAAAGAGAAGACACAGCCTCTATGGAATACGAGGAGTTTTGAGAGGATGAACAACAACCTGTCTCATTACTGAGATTCTCTTGTCCATGCAGTCAGTGTTCAGGACCCTTCCCACCAACAACTGCAAACAACTATAACCTTTCTTACCAGTAGGAGTGTTGTTTGGGACACTCTCCAACTCTTGGACGATGTTGATGTCTAACAGCTCGAAAGACAGAAGATCCTGACAGACAAAGGTAAGTCATAAAATACATTTAAAAAGATAAATAAATAAATACAATTAATTAGTTTGAGCAGCGTTGTGGGAAATGCAGTAGGCAGTGTTTCACATTTATACAGCCATTAAAATGTCAGGATTTTTTTTTTTTTGCAGTTTCAATTTTTACTATTCTGTTTCTATTCTGCCCTTTAATTCTGTCTTCTGCAGGGTTCCCAATATGATGAAAGCAAAAACCCCATCAGCGGATAATCACTTTAAGAAACTGTTAAAGAAATACACCAAACATTCCTGGTTTCAGTGTCTGCAGTATTTCCAATTTTAAATTTTACTTTATTCTACATACATAATTTTTAAGACGTGACCAGAGCTATGATCCTTTGTTTCTTCAGTGCTTATGTATGGACAGCTTGTTCTATTTCCTAGGTAGTCCTTTCTCATCGTACTTTTCTGTAGTTCTGGTAGCTGGCTAACTTCCCTCCTTGTTACCTTGATATTGGCTCCTGCCTTCTTGTTCATGGAGGATACTGCTCCTTTTGGCCTTATGGTGCTCACCTTGTAGCCAAGCATCAATCATGACTGTTGCTGTTGTGTATACCAGCCTATTGGTTTCAGTGATTGTCATAGTAGGGACAGTTAGCAGAGCTGCGTTCCATTGTCAAGTAGACTTTCTGTAGGCACTTCTTTACGTAGGTGAACGGAAACTACAGGTATTTAGCTTAGTTATAATTTTCTGTCTCAGCTCCCCTTCTGTTAAGGTTATATGGGTTTGTGGTTGTTGGGACTTGGAACTCAATCTTGGAGTATGAGGATAATTATGATATTTCCCCCTGACCTGGCTCCTACTTGTCATAGCAGTTTGTTTTACCTCATCATTCTCGAGTTGTGATAGCAGTTTGCATTTATGGACATTGTAAACACTGAGCTAGAACTTGCTTCTTAGTTAGCTTAGATGTTGGGTTTCGAAGTATCCATAGGTCCCACATTTTCTGCATATATCCACTATCACTGGGATTGCTTGTATGGTAGCATTCCAACAGTTCCTTATTCTCTGTCCGAATCCATGCCCCGGTCAGGGGGCGTGACAGGAGGCATGGAAATCGGGGGTTTGAATTCTGGTCAGGTGTGTGGCAAGTCCAGTGTGGGCCCTTAAGCAAGGTCCTTAAAGCTATCAAGCCTACCACATGAGCTGTTCAATAAATATAAAAGCCATACTACCTTGGACTCGGGTCAACAAGGTCTGCGCGTCAGGTGTTGGGGAATCAGGGCAACCTCATGAGAAGTAAGCTACACGAACAAGGCATTCATGGATGAGGGCAGAGAACATGGAACTGTTGGAAAGCTACAACACAAGCAATGTCAGGGGATTTCTGCATAGACCATGGGACTCATGGATACTCCGAAACCCAACATCTAAACTAACAAAGAAGCAACTTCTAGCTCATTATTCCAATATTCAGAAACTGCTACTACAACTAGAAACTGAGAAGGTACAACAAAGATTGTATGGCAATCCACAAATAACTAGTTGCACTCCATGGATACCTAGCAGCACAAACAACCTAGCTGCTAATGGGTGGGACCCACCGAGAGTGATTAACCCAAGGTGGACAGTTCTTATAATGACAGATCCTCAGAAGGAAGCAATTATGTCCAATTACTGGCCTACAACCTGCCCCTTGACTTAATGGAAGCTTTTGTTAGGAATCATAGCTTTTCACTTTTTGATTCTAGTGAATTTCAAGTGATTTGGTCTTTAAATTTTGTTAAATCATGGACTTTACTATTAAGACTTAAATACATGCCTTATATGAAATTTAAAATGTAAAATACTCTCCAAATCTACAAAGCATGTTGGTATATGATCATCTTCACCTCTCATAAACACATGATCTACCATTATAGCCTCACATTTGCTTACACATATTATAGTTTGTACTTTGTAGAGAATTTTACTGGATTGGTACTTGAAAGTGGCTATTAACACTTTTGTTGTTAGAATCAGTGCAGAGGAAATCAAAGACTTTCAGCAGAACACAGCAGTGTAATGATTAAAGATTATATTACCTGCGCAGTAAGCAGGTCTACTGAGGGGATGTAGTATTCTTCTTGGTCCACTGACATTAAAGGTGGCTCCCTAGAAGTAGTACAGGCTTTTCCATCTTTCACAACTGGGTTCTTGCCCTGCAGATAAACACAAATCATTTCAGACAGCTACACACACAAATCTACATTATGAATCAAAGTATGTGTTTGTGTTTATCACTCTTTGTGTTTACACAGTTATGCACATAAATGTTTTTTTTTTCCACAGCTTTATTTTACAACTTTGAAGTTTAAATTCTGAATGACTTCTGCTTTAATTTATCTAATTATTTGCTCTACCTGTGGTGTGACACAGGGCGACACAAGTATCCCATCAGCCATCATGGGTGCCGGGGCCAGAGGGTCGACCATGATGCTGCACCACACTCTCGGTCCAAACTGCTCTCCAGCATGCGCCAGACGCCAGTGAGAGGTATAGGAGCCCTCCACAACAGGAGCACACAGTGCTACACTTACTATACCGATCTAGACACACACAAACAAAAAACAGACATCTTCACGGGACCAAAAATTTGTGCCCACACCCTAAAATAAAATAGAAAAGTACTACTCTGAACAAAATCAGACCTGAGCTGGAACCTGGACCCATGTTGCCCCGAGATATAGAGGGAGACACAAACTGGAACGGCACTAGTTTCGTAGCTGTTTGCTATGAATAAAATGACCTTACTTAACAAGTTGCCAAAATAAAACTTTGTGTCTTAACTAATGTTGCAGCAATGTAGAAATACGACCCTTGTGTCTGGTCTAAACACATTCAATCTATTCCCCGCTGCCAAGAAAGTTGGTAAAGTGGTGCTATAGTTCAACTGATGTAAATTTTGTCATCCCAAGATTGGTGTACCACCTTTCACCTGCCAAAACGGGCAATTTTGATTTTACTCATAGTGTGCATGCATGGTATAAGCAGACACTAATCTACTCTAAATATATGGAATGCACCCTCCAAGCAGACTATAAGCAAACTAGAGAGATGTATAATATGAACAGCTACACATCATTGGTGTTCGTAGCTATCTGTTTTGTTGCATTCCGCATAACAAAGATGGCAAACGCTAGCCTTGCTAATATTCTATCATCTGTGCTCTCTGAAATGAGACTGACCTGTGCTTTCTGATTGGAGTTTTCAGACTGCACTGGTCTTATGGGAAAAAAGAAATTCACTGGAATGCAATTTAGCTTGGAGGTCTTTCTACTATTTAACTTGGGCTTTGTTTTTCCTTCGTAACTATGATCTCTGACTCTTAGTGTATTTACTTCGGCACATTTTTTTCAACGAAACTACGCAAAGGTGTCATCTTGTCTCTGTGTTCCTAACCCATGTCATCCATCAAATTTTCACAAATACACATCCGTCTGCAATCTGCCTCCCACTGATGTTGCACATTAATCCTGGAGTGTCAGTATGCTGGTATAATTCTTTGTCTGCTAAATGGGAGAATTTAGAAATTACAATTAGTTTCTCATTTCCAAAGTGACACTAAATTGCTCGTCGCTCCACCAACTGCTTCCAATGACGATGACTCTTAATTTATTTGTTTGCCTGTAGTCAACCATACACTGACTGTTGTTTGTTACATCATTGTTGTCTGATTGTTTGTTTATAGCAGTAGTTAATAAATGTTTCTTGTTGTTGATTCTACCGTGTATTTCTTTGCTTGGGAACTAGAGGTCAATAAAATCAGAGCTTACAACCTCTGATTAAAAGAATTATCAAAACAATCCAATGGTTATGCTACACCATGAATACCTCTTAACACAAAATAAAGAGCTGATCATGAATGTGCTGATTGTATCCATGTGAATCATTGCTTCATAGAGAAAACAATACAAGCTGTTATCTGCTGCGTGTGAAATGACTCCGGACAATGCCCTGATGCGATTGTCAACGCATTGTCCAGAACTGACATGTGAAAACAGCTTAGAAGACAAACTCAGGGTGCATTTTCAAATATTTATTTGACCAATGAAAGCTCCCTTATCTTACCTGTCCTGGTTGGAGGAAGGGAACAGACACTTCTCTCCAACGGTCCCCAGATCCCACTGCCAGGTTTCCCCACATGAACTTCAGCTGCAGGAAGCAGAATACATTTTATTACACTCTATACAGCACTATATTACTCTTTCAATGAAATGTGAAATACATTTTGGCAATTATGTTTAACAAAGCTGAACTGATCAACATTTAATTACATAAGCAATGGCTCACAAAACTCGGTTTGTAAAAGAAGCACTGAAAGATTTATCAGTAAATCTACAGTCCATTTTGAATCACTTTGCAAAAATCACTTCCTATCAGGTTTACAATTTCAAGCTCAATGTTTAAGCAGCATTAGACAGCTGTTTTCAATGAAAAAACACAGTAAAAGATAAAACCAGCAAATCCCTTGTTAACATAGTTGAGCATAAAGCATGGAGCAAAAAGAAAAGTGAATGTTGAACTCAAAGCACCCAGATGGACACAAACCACTGTTAATGTGCGACTGTGGCTCAGGTGGTAGAGCGGGTTGTCCACTAATTGCAAGGTTGGCAGTTCGATCCCCAGCTCCTCCACAGTCAAAGTGTCCTTGGGCAAGACACTGAACCCAAAAGTTGCTCCCAATAGCAGGCATGCACCTTGCATGACAGCTCTATCACCATTGGTGTATGAATGTGATCTACTCTCAAAAATGTATGTCTCTTTGGATAAAAGCATCTGTTAAGTGAAATTGTTTTAATGTGTAAATAGTTTTTGTATGGTGACAGTAAATCAACATTTTACACAAATAAGTTGTTCAAAGTGCTATTTTGTGCGTTTTGTGAAACGTGTTTTAAGCGTATTTGTGCTTCTTTGTTGCAGGCTGGGGCTGCAGGGTGGCGCAGTTGGTAACACTGTTGCCTCACAGCAAGAAGGTTGCCGGTTTGTGTCCCGGTGGGGGCACCGGAATCTTTCTGCGTGCAGTTGGGTTCTCTCCGGGTTCTCCGGCTTCCTCCCACAAGGTCCAAAAACATGTTGAGGTTAATTGGTGATTCTAAATTGTCCGTAGGTGTGAATGTGAGTGTGCTTGGTTGTCTGTCACTAAGTGTAGCCCTGTGATAGACTGGTGACCTGTCCAGGGTGTCCCCTGCCTTCACCCTAAGTCGGCTGGGATAGGCTCCAGCCCCCCTGCGACCCTAGTGAGGATTAAGCGGTGTATAGATAATGGACGGATTTTGCGGGCTGCAAGTGTGTTTCAGGCTGGGTGGGGCTTTGGACGGGAGAAGCCTCACTCACTCTCCTCCGCACCTGAGGATAATTGGTAATCAGCGCTGGAAAAAAGCCTGCCTCCACCTGTGCTCCAGTGCCAGTGGACTATTCCTCCCTTGAGTGGTAACAGGCCAGCCAGTTGACTACGGAACTTTGTGAATTGACAATCTAGCTTTGTCTAACTTTGATTTTTTTCTACATTTATGCCAGAGCCTCCTCATTGAATTGACGTCTCCCTGGCCCAGCTTCTGAAGCCAAGCTCCAGCCTCAGCAGTTCTGCCTCCCGGTCCCTTTGGAAACCTCCCCTGGAAAACCCTCGCTCACTCGGTTACCCTCACGTGCTTCCCGGTGTCCCCTGTTTTCCCTGCAGCCACAAATAAATCCTTCTTTGCTTCTAACCAAAACCCTCTGTTGCATTTTCGGATCCCGCTCAGACTGAATCGTAACAATTTTGCTTAACAAAAATAGCCAATTCCACAAAAAAAAAAAATAAATAAAAAATGTAAAAAGATGCAACTTGTGACATTTTCTGAAAACAAATTCAATTTATTTGCAGTTCACACTTTGTATAGGCTGTAGAAACTCAGCGAACTGTTACCTTGCCTATTATATTTACTGAACTCAACTACTTTATTGGAAGAGCTTGATGAAAAAGTCTTTTGCATTTATTATAAATATACATGTACTCGCACTTTAACTTTCTGCACATAGTCCAGCTTGTTACATTGGTCTTGAGAAGGCCAAGTTTATTCCTAAAAGAACATAAAGCAAGAAAATCCATTTTGAGCCTACCAAACAGTTTCCACAAAGATCAATTTCTGTCCTGACAGAAAAAAAAGCTATGAAGATTCAGTAAATAGGTGGTATATCTGTATTTCCAGACAGATAGCAAACAGAAAAAAGAAGAGACCTACATGCTTGACTGAAGTTGAGTTCTCTTTACTGAATCTTCTTAGCTTTTTATATTGTTGTAAAATGATTGCTCCACTGTAAGGCTCAGACAGTCAACTCTGTGGTGGAGCACTTAACGTGCATAAACACTGGTCATCTCGCCTAAATGTGCAGTAACCAAGAAACACCACCAAAGGGATACTAACGTTTCTCAGTTAATGACAGGAGTCAGAACACTCCCCACTTGGTATAAATATGTTATACCACTGTTTACATTTTCTTCTTTGGCATGAGTAAAACAACATCACTATTGGGCCTTAGATACTCCTTAATTACCCCTTGGTGAAGAGTCTGCACCATCACCTTACAGACTTTGGTGTCTGAGCTAGTAATGGTCTTGACTATACGTCCAAGAGGCCACACATTACATTCTGCTTGAATGTCCTTCATTAAAACAATATCACTTTCCTTGAGGTCCGACTTCTCCAAGGTCCACTTTCTCCGCAGCTGAAAAGTCGGCAGGTACTCCAATCTCTACAGTTTCCAGAAAGATTCTGCCAAGCTCTGGACCTGGCACCACTGTACCTTATATAGGTGGTCCAATTCAAAGTTTCCTGGGGATGCAGGAGTAACACTCATCTTCTGGGTTAGGAGAGTAGCAAGTGTGAGCATTTCAAGTACTTCAACATTGTATGAGATTGGGACCAGTGGCTGGGGATTCAGGACGGCCATAACCTCAGCCATCAAGGTTGTTAGGACCTCATGAGACAGTCTGGTAGCACCATCTTTCATCAGCAGTGCATCCAGGATAAGTCTTGCCACTCCTATTAGCCTCTTCCAAGCTCCTCCCTTGTGTGAAGAACAGAGAGCATTAAAAGTTCCATGTACATCCCTGTTCCTGCAGGTAGTTCTTGATCTCAAGGTCATCAGCGTTAACTTGAAGCTTTCTGCATGCACCAATGAAATTTGTCCTTCTGTCCGACCTTAGGTGTTTGATAGGTCCCCGTAAGGACAGAAAGCGCCTCAAGGCGTCGATGAAGCTTGAGACTGACATAGATTGAATGACTAAAAGGTGCACAGCTCTTGTACTGAGACAAGTGAAAATGACAGCCCACCTCTTGCTCTCAGCAGCTCCACCTCGCGTCCGCCAAGTGATGACACTCCATGGGCATAGACATCAAGCCTTACATGAGTAAAGGGGCGGTCAATCTGTCAGTCAGCAGATCAGACATTTTTTGAACTTCACACTTTCCACTCTTCGGCTTCCCCATGACGATTCTATCGTAGCACTCGTCTATGTAGTCCGTCAGGCTGGCCAGATCTTCTCCGCCTTCCTCCAGAGTGAAACTTAAAAGACACTAAGTTTCTTTCTTTTCAAAATTTAAAGTTAGTTTGGCAAACGTAGATTTACTGAATGTATGAATGAATGAATTCGCGCGCCTTGTTTGAATCTGCCGTCTCACAGGATCTGCGTTACTACAGCGTCATGTGTCTCACAGGATCTGCGTCCCTCTTAATGATCTTCAGTGGAGCTGGAAACAGATGCTCCGGCAGAAGGTCCAGGATGGAGATGGCCATGTTCTGGGGAGTCTCCCAGCAGTCAGGGAAGATGTTTATCCAGCTGCCCTTCACTAAAACATTGCTTAAATGTTATTTTTAATGCACAGTAACAGTCATAAGAATAAAACAAGGCTGTACTACAGGTAATGAAAGCAAGAAAATAATTCAGACGTACCAAGGCAGCGATCAGTACAACAACAAATAAAAATATAAAGTTCCAACATTAACTTTAACTTCTTTTAAATCGATTGTGAGCATTGACTAAATTACACTGTGAGGACAAAGTGTGACCGCTAAACTACGTATATCCCAGTTTCACCGCTACGGAGCTGTCAGAGCCAGCGGCAGATTTAAGAAAGCCTTGCCAACATCAGGCTGCTTTCGGCGGCTACTGTGAGCACTGGCTGCCGTCACAGCTGTCAAACCGGGACGCTCACATCTCCGAAATCGTCGGAGCAAAATTTTAAGCAGGCTTTATCTTGATAAAATGACTACATATTTGGCATTTATACCACTACATTCTCACCTCAAATAATCATAAAACTACAGTTTGTGTCACAATAACAGTAGTATTTACAAAAAAAGCCTGTGTTACCGTTGAAAGTTTTCTCCTCGGCTTTTGCATTCTGGGATACTTGACTGTCTGAAATCAACACAAGTCCGGTCTGATGCAGACTCGATAATGTGGACAGAGCGAGAACCCATCCTGGCATTTCATCTTACTTGGTCAGATGCGTACTTAGAATTGGGACAGTACTTGGTCTTCGACTGATGACGTTTCACAAGTCCGCAAGAACGCAAGTACGGACAAGTACACATATTGAAACATGGCTAGAGTCTGTAGTTCTAGGCTTCGGCGTGCTGTTCACAGTTGTTTAATTGCCTTTCCCGCTGAGTGGTTATCATTTTACTATTCTGTCCTGGCAGAATACCACCCGGAGCACTTAACATGCATGAACATTGGTCATCCTACTTGAATGCTCAATAACCCAGAAACACTACCACAGGGACACTAACATTTCTGAGTTAATGACAGGGGTCAGAATAAGTTATTAGAATCAATTTACAATTAAAATCTTACTCACATAAGTACGTCAGATTACCATTAAATATAAAAGACATGAAAAGTTCCCCCCAGAAAAATCCCGACACATGTATGTATTTGGTCATGTTTATATTACACCATATTGACCTAATGCAGGGACAATTCACAAATAAACTGCCTAAAACTGCATGCCAAGCCTCAAGCTTTAGTTGTATTTGGAGAACCACCTCAAAACTCTAGAACTCCCTTAAACTTGGATTAGGCTATCAAGCAATATTTTAGTTTTTGTGGTACAACTTGTCATACCTGCTCAATCAGTTATGAAAGTTCTAAAATAAATAAATAAAAATGTATTAAAAAAAATTCTAATCTAACCAAGTGTCTGACATCAAAGTATTCTCTAAAACATCACTGCTTGACTTTTGCATTCTCACTTTTTCTTAATGTGTGCTTAAAGATGAGACTTTTCATGACAGCTTCAATTTAAAGAAAAGAAAATCAAACCCACCCATATTTAGAGAACTTTTGATCTAGTTATCTAGTTTTGCAGATTCTAAGTCAGTGGTGTCAACAAATATCAGTGAAAACCTTGGCCATTTATTTTGAAAACTTCCTGAAATACTGTCACTCAAACATAGTGTCAAATTTCAAAGTGTGAAAAAATGTGCTGAAAGTGGATAAAAAAAAAAAAAAAAAAAATAAATCTCAGACAGTCTATCAGTCTAAAATTCCACAGATACCATTTTATATATTTATAATTTATGGTAAAAACAATTCAAGCAAATCAGAGATGGACGTGCAAAAGGCCCCTGATGATTTGAGTGAGAATCCTCAGATGAGATTAATTTGGACACTTCAGCATATTTCTCTCATCAATGCAAAACAAGCGCAAAAAGCTTGTTTGGGCGCAAACCTTTTTCTATAAAATTTTCCCAAAGGTATGAACAGACCAAACTACTGAACAGGACTTTACCTTAGTATCAGCACCCCAACTGATAGTTCCTGTGTTCCTCATTTTCCAGTACTTGATAAACTTGGTCGCAGGACGCAGTCGCGTTCCATCAGGAAGATTCTCATCCAGAAATGTGGCCATCATGGCTGGAACCACCAGGGGACAGGGGCGCTTTGGGCGCCTGAGCAAAAATATAATCCTTTTATTCTGCTATTATCTTAGGTTGTGCTTTTATAGGTACTTGTTAAGAGCGTTCAGATTTTGGTCACAAGGTACAACTGAAAAGTTCTGAGTCTATGCCTTCAAAAAGTAACTTTACTGGATTTGAATTCGGCTGCATTTCCCTCCAGGGTAGTCATCTTGTGCAGCAAAACATCACTCCCAGCACTATTATATGCATTATTTTTAGCTGTTTTGGCGAATCATCCATCACAAGCTAACCTTTTCAAAAGTTTGTCTATTTCAAACAATCAATATAGCTTTTTACCCCTTCTAAGTGCTAACTGGCATTCTTAAAACATTGTTGTTCAGGTATTATAGCGGATTCACTAAATCTCACTTTTTATTGTTGTTGGAATAATTTTTCTCAGGCATGTGCTCTAACTTAACAAGTGTGGAACATATTTTTGCTGGTAACCTACTCTGGGCTGTTGTGCTGGGTGGCTCGAGGCTGCAGAAGAATGGGGGAAGAGCTCCCATCTCTGTAGGAGGAGCTCCATTGTATGCCCCGCCTTTCCATCCTCAGCTGTTTCCGAATCTCTTTGACCTCTGCCTTCAGCAAGCGCTTCTCTGCTTTAAGCCGTTGCTTCTCTGCCTTCCGGAAACTGCGGTCTCCACGCCTATAGAACCTGTACAGCAATGGCCAGCGATAAAACCAAAACATATAACATAACATAACAATAACGTCTATGTATATGTGTGTGTCTGTTCATGTGTATGTGTGTGTGCATGCTGCTATATTTATTAATATATAATTTATTAAGTACTTTCCACACCTTCATGTCAAAACACACGTAATTTATGTAGCTGTAAATGTGTTAAGTTGCTCTCACATTTTTAAAAAATTGGTAAAGTATTGGAAACACTTAACTGGTACCATACCTGCTGTGGTCTGGGGCAGGTGATCCATGCTCTGGGATGGACAGAGGAGTCCTGGCTCTTACTAGGTTGTGACTGGGATCATGGGAGAAGCTACAGGGCTCGCAAAGAGTACAGGAGGTACACACACTGGTGAGAGGCAGGAAGAGAGGAAAGACGGACAGGAAATAATAGAGGTCGAGGATGAAAAGAGTGGCAGAAAATGAAGTAGACAGTGAAAAAGGGAAAGAGAAAGAATAATTCCAATATGAGCGGTGTGATGATGATTAGGTCCTTCAATTTCAGTTGAGGGGCTTTATTGCAGGCATGTAGATGTATTTAGGTCTGAACTCTTGTTGAAGATTTTTCAAATGAATAACATATGACTTCCTTTGTCCACTCTGTGAGAAGAAGATCGAACTAATTACATGTCATGTTGCTGTATATCATGTCTACAACACGCTATGTGAATGTCACGTAAATTGAATTATGGTTGCCACTTTAGGCTGATTTTCTGTTGCCAGTAGGTGGCACTATCAGTGTAACAAAATACTGGCATGTAGGTGGGTCCAGTCCTGTGCTACTAAACAAATTTGAGATAGCTAGGCGTTCTTTTACCCCTTTTCCACCAAGAAGAACCTGGTGCTAGTTCCGTGCTGGTGCTAGGGCCAGTGCTTAGTTGGTTCCAATCTGGCACCTCCAAAGAACCGGTTGCCTTTCCACTGGCAAGGAGCCAATTTAGAGCCATGCCATGTCACTACATACGTAGCCGTTTACTGAAAAATTCTCAAGCCACACAGAAGTCTACACAGGACTCCAGACTAACTTTTTTTACCGGTGCAACCACTCGTCTCATTTATTCGCACTTCTCACCTTATCACAGGCAAAACATATGACTTGCTGAACATTTTCTTATCGATAGACGGTACAATTTACGATGTTCCCTAAATGCCCCACATAGCAGGCTGCGGTAGCTGCTGTTGTTGGCTGTGGTGCTCGGACTGGTGTGCGACCAAAACTGACTTTAAAAAGCGTAAACTAGAAGACTAAAAAATCAAATCAAGTTTATTGTCATTTTGCTGTACATACACAGGAGTACAGGCAAGATGAGAGAGTGTTTCCTTAGGATTCAATCATTTAACGCAATTTAAATAAAGAAGTGTTTGCATATCTGGATCAGCAGTTCAGCATTCTGACAGCTTGTGGAATGAAGCTGTTGATCATTCTGGAGGTCCTTCCTTTAATGCTCCAGACACGTTTGCCTGATGGTAGCAGTTCAAACTCTGATGACCCTCTCAGCTCCTCTAACTATCCTCTGCAGGGCTTTTCTGTCTGACATACTGCAGCTGGAGTACCATGTTGAGATGCAGCATGACAGAACGCTTTCCACCACACCTCTGTAAAAAGTCCTGAGGATGCTGGCAGTGAGAGAGGCTTGTTTCAGCTTCCTCAGGAAATGCAGTCTCTGCTGAGACCGTTTGATGATCGCTGTGGTGTTCTTATTCCAGCTCAGGTCCTGCGAGATCTGCACGCCGAGGAACTTGATGTTCTCCACTCTCTCCACTGTGCAGCCACTGACGCTGAGGAGAGCATGCTCAGGATGTGACCTCCGGAAGTCAACTATCATCTCCTTTGTTTTGTCCACATTGAGCAGCAGGTTGTTCTTACTGCACCAGACCTCAAAGTGTTTCACCTTCATCTCTGTACATTGATTCTTTGTTCCCATGAATAAGTCCCACTACTGTGGTATCATCAGCAAATTTGATGATCTGGATCCCCACATGTGTGGCTGCACAGTCATGTGTCAGCAGTGTAAACAACAGTGGAGGGGTTTGCAAGCGGGCACCAGCATAACAGAAAGATGATCGAGCAGCCAAGGTGGGGGCGGGGGGTTGCTTTGTATGCATCATGGAAGTTTGAACACACCAATTAGAGCATGTTCTCTCCTCTGGTTTTAAAGTCCTCAAATTGCTTGAACTTGGGGAGCACAGACTTTAAACTGCTGTGGTTAAAATCCCCTGCAACCACTGTAAAGCTGTCTGGAAGTTTAGTTAAAAGTTCACTGATAGCATTGTGTAGCCCTCCTAGCGCCTTGTTAGCATTAGCACTTGGAGCTATGTAAACAAAGGCGACAATCACGTTAGTGAATTCCCTCGGCAGGTAGAATGGCCAGCATTTCACAATAAGAAACTCTGCCAACTGAGAGGCTAACGTGGCATTTACACACCAGTCTTTGTTAATAAAGATGCACAGCCCTCCGCCTCAGCTTTTACTAGAGCTAGCTGATAGAAGATACAACATATTGCCTCAGCTGGGAATCTGTATTACTCACAGAGAATCATCAGTGAAAAAATTGGTTAAAGGGAGACACTTCTTTCAATCGATTCAAATCCAAAATTCTGAACACAACCTGCTCCGGACGAGGTTAGCTCTGCAGCATAAATTACTAATAAGTGATCTTACAAGTTAAAAAAGAGACACCTTTGTGACACTGAAAACTCTGACTTTACCTCAACATACCTAACAAACCTACTAATTTCTCTTCATAGTACAGCCTTTCGGAATTTGGGGAAAATTGGAAAACATACATTTAAGTTGCAAACGACTTCTGTGTTCCTGGCAAAACATTAAAATTTGCTATGCCGCCAGGGCAACAGCGTTCAACAAAAACTGGAAAGATTGGCAAGTTAGCATTGCAAACGTCTTTAACCGACAAAAAACTAATTATGGTGGCCTTGAGGTGTTAAACACAATCACATTTCAGAAACCCTGACATTTGAAAAAGCACAACAAAAAACGACAACAACATTTTGCAAACAACAACAAAACAGAACACACAACAGCTCAGAAACATTTTATTAATGGTAAGAAAAAAAAGCTTGTTTGTTGTCTTTTCTCAAATGCTTTGTTTTCAGTATTGTGTGAACGACTGTTGTGTTTTCCGGTTTGTTGTTGTGTTCTCTAAACTGCTGTGTTCTGTCACATTTTGCTGTGTTTTGCACTAATCATAAAAAATTATGTTGATTGGAATAATTCTCTTCGAGGATTTCGTTAAAACACAGTGCCTGTAAAGTCAAAAGCTGTTCCAAAAAATTATAAATGGCTACTCCCTGTTGGGTTTACAATATTGCTATATGGCTAAGAGGCTCTTTTGTAAGGCTTTGGACACTACACCTGACCACTAACTTTTGTTTATATGACTAACATGTAGCACAAGGGTTTCTCTGTTGAAATTCTGTAGCAGGTGCTGTTCACATGTTTGTTCCATGTATGTGCAAGACCCATGTACATATTAATACAACCACTGCAGTTTCAAGAGGGTCCTTAAACTGGCCTTGCTCTCTGACTAAAGACCTGACACCATGACTAAGAGTGCACATTAAGTCTCATAGTTCATAGAAGTAGTACATTCTCTAGAACCCTTTGAAATCCACAACACTCCTATTGTATCTCTGGTTTTGCTGCAGCAGTTTTGATGTGTACTTTCAGTGAACTGTCCATCATCCAAACGTTACCAAAGTGCAATGCAAAATCATTGCAGTGCAGGTGCTCAGTAGCTCAAATGGTTGAGCAGGAGAGCCATAAACAGGGACTGCAGTGGCAATGAATCCAATCCAACCCATGAATGTTCCTCCCTCACTTTTCTCCATACCTTTCCTGTCTCACTTCAAATAACCTTAAAAAATAACCTTTAAAAAAAAATCGTTGCAGTATCCTTTTGAATAAGGAGGTAGAATCATGATGTAGTTAGCCTTGTTTACAATTAAGACTGAAAGCCAGAGGGAAAATCTAGCCAGGCTGTGTGCAATGGCCAAAACTACAGCATTGCCTCCACAGCTGACTGATCAAAGCATCTCAATTGCTTAACATGGGTGCAGAAAGTTATGTTTAAAGACAACAACTTGTGATATTTGGTGTTTTATGCTGCACCAATTTAATGGAGAACAATCAATTTTGTTCTCCACAATACTAAAATGTTCAACTAGCTGATATAACAAAGACTCAAGAATCACTGAAGTCACCAACTTTGCAGTCTAATTGCAGGTGGTTTTCAACACTACTATGAATATTGTATTTATTTACTTTATTTTCATTTACTTCAAATGAGTGTCTCTTCGGTGCTGAGCCATGCGCGTGTGGAGCATTGTGGCAGGGGGAGTACGAACGACTCACATAATGAGGGGGAGGAGTGACAAACCCCCAATTGAAACCAAAACTCAGGTGGCTGTGGCTCCTTAAGGATATAAGTATCTGGAACTCCCAACTTGTCAGTCAGAACTGATGAAGCCTCTTGGATGAGAGGTGAAACGTCTTCAAGGAACTCAAGCAAGTCCAGTTGCTACGATTAATCTACGAGAATCACCACGACCTTGATGACTGGATGACTGAGAATCTTCACAGACTTAAAGTGCTGATGTTGGTTTGCTTCGGCCCTGAGATGATTGTGGCAGACTTGAGACAGGTGGGGTCCATGGCTTGGGAGAGAGACATACTGAAAATGTCAGTGAAAACATTCTAGATTTGGTAAGCACAGTCTCTTATAACTTGGGCTGGGATCCAATCTGCCCCCCCCCCCCCAAGCTTTCCTCACATTCACTGAGTGGAAGATTTTCCTCACCTCCTGTGTCTATATGGTCAGTATGTCACCGGTGCCAACAGTTGGGGGTGCAGCTCCATCATCAGGCCCAGTTGTTTCAAAGCAGGCAAAGAAATGATTGAGTTCCTCTGCCAAGGAGGCATTGTTTTCCATTGGTGGTTCTTGATACTCCTCTAGTTGGTAATCTGTTGAATGACTTACCACATGCATGCTGAACCCCTGTTAGAGAAATTATCCTCAATTTTCTCTTTGTACTCAGCTTTAGCGTGCTTCATGCCTTTTTTCAGGTTGTGCCTGGCTGCACTGTGCCACCCTCTGTTGCCTGATCCTGCTCTAAAGGCTGTGTTGTGGTCTTTCAGGAGTGTCTGCACCTCTTGTCATTCATGGTTTCCTGTTTTGGAAGACAAGAATGTGTTTGTTGATGGTGAAATTTGCAACACAGGTCCTGATGTAGCAGAGAACAGTAGTAGTGTAGGTCTCCACATCTTGATCAAAAAACAGATCCTAGTTGGTACGTTCACAACAGTCCTGCAGTTGTAGAGATGCCTCTTCAGGCCAGGTTTGAACAGTTCAGGTGGGAGGTCTCTGTTTTTTTAATGAAGGGGCTGTCAGCTTGGGTTGGATGTTGTAACAGATAAGACTGACCCAGATGTGAGAGGGGAGAAGCTCTGTATACCTTAATGATGTTTGAGTAGACATAGTCCAGTGCATTGTCCCTTCTCATTGCACATTTGATGTGCAAGCTGAACCTTGGAAGCACAGTCTTTAAATTAGCATGACTGAAGTCTCCAGCAACAATGAAAACGTCATTGGGGTAAGCATTGGCCTGTTTGCTTATAGTCATTAGCACATAGCTACAACAGAGAATCCGGTGGCAGGTAGAAGGGTCTCCATTTAACTGCTAGGAGCTCCAAATCAGATGAGCAGTGCATATTGCTGATTGCAGTGCATCAGTCATTATTCCCAAAGATACACAGTATACCATAGTGGCTCAAATTGGAGTTTTAATCCCAATCACTTTGGTAGGCTGAGCAGCCTGCTAGTTCAATGGCTGCATCAGGGACTCCAACATTGAGCCAAGTGTCATTGATGATGATCACACAGCTGTGTCTCGTGGCTATCCGGGATGCTAAGTCTAGCCTCAGTTTATTCATTTTATTACCAAGGGATCTGGCATTTGCAATTTAAAGGCTGGGAAGCAATGGTCTGGTTGGAGCTCTTTATAGCCTAGCCAGGTAGCTGGACCAGTATCGCCTCTTCTGCTTGCGCTCACACCGCCTCCAACAGGGTTGGGCCCCTTGGAATAGCAATCCACCATGAAGCCAGTGATCTTGCTAACTCCCCTGGTATTCCACAGGATTGCTGGTAGGCACTCGTGATGGGAACCTGGTGCATTGTTCTGAGGTGCAGGAGTTGTTCTCTGCTGTACAGGAGCTTCAGTGCACTCAAACTGAGCTCTTCTATCAATATTACCACAAAAACTGGGTCTGTGTGTGCTGCCATCTTGCAAACATCTGATGGTTATACTTTCTGAGGAGAGACCTTCGTACTCCATTATATGTGTTTGGTAAGTTGTGCTGTAGTACCTCTCTTCTGTTTAGAGGTGGCTGTTCCGGTTTGACATAGATGGCTTCTCTTACTTTCCTCTCAAACCAACTGTCTTCTCTGTCCAGAATGTGTACATTGCTGTCCTCAAAGGAGTTCCCTTATCCTTCAGATGCAGGGGGACTGCTGAGTCTTGTCCTTAGGAGCTGGCTTCCCTGTGTTAAACCATGCATTTATGGAGCTGTTGTTTAGTCTCCCCTATGTACAAGTCCATGCATTCCCTGCTGCACTGGACTGCATACACAAGATTGCTCCACTTGTGTGTGGGTGTTTTGTCCTCGGGTTGAACCATTTTTGTTTGGCTTAAAGTGTTACTGGGTTGTTCCTTCTGTTCTTCTTTTCATCTCTGTCTACTGGGGTGCTGTGTTTCAAAGATCTTCATGTTAATTTGATAATGGCTCAGTTTGGATAATCGCAGTTGTAGAGGTTGGCCACAATGGATGACACTGGAGAGCCCACTGTGCAGATATATAACAAGGTTTATGTCTGTAGACAGAAGCAACAGCTGTTTACTTACCGAGGCTCCTGGGGTTACCGATGCAGATACTTTTATGCATATGACTACAATATCTGAATAATTTTTACCCTTAGAAAGGCTGACTGCCTGTGAAACATATTCAATTCAAGCAGCACCCTTATCCACAAAGCAGAATAGATCAGTATGCACATTTTAAACAAGACATTTTCTTAGTTTTCTCTTTTCAGTTTTTAAGGACAGATCTCGTGGGGACATATACAAGAGAACATTTTTTGAATGAGATTGTTAGACAATATATATTCATTACTCATCCGAAGTGACTTGCAATTAGCCTGCTGACAACACGTACCTGCATTGGTAGCCTCCTCCAGTGGTCTGGCCCCTACAGGAGGAGCAGGGAGGAGTGGAGGAGGATGGAGATCCAGGCAGTGTGGAGGACACCTCAGGGACCTGCTGAGGTTCCGTTCCTCCTACTACTTCCCCTTTACCTCTCCCTGCTCCACCTGCTCCTCCTCCTCCCCCTCCTCCTCCTCCTCCTCCTCC